TGAGAGGTGTAGTGGAGGATGAGTGGAACTGACTGTAGCTTGGACTATTAGTGATAGAGGATGCAACTGAAGATTGGGTGGTGGAAAAAAGGAGGAAAACAGTGGCTCTGCAGTGAGTGAAAACAGTGCCTGATGAGTATAGAGAGCATATTGAATTGTGTGATGTGGAGGTTTGGAAGCATTGGAAAATCTTGTGTGATAGAAGCAGCAAAAGAGGTTTATAGTGTAACGAGAGTAGGCTGTGAGAGAGGGACTGCATGATGGAATGAAAAAACTCCTATAAACTATTTATACAATTTTTTGTAATAAAAATAAGGAAGATGAATGTTTTGAAAATCTTTTACTAATAAATAAAGTAAATCCATATAATATCTCATATATATTTGTGATATGAAAACTGAATACAAAGATTTTCTATCAATATTTATCTGTTGATGAACTTTAATTTATCCAGGACACATTTGAAAATTATTGCGTAGTCATAGTTTAATAATAATTATGTCTTATTATAAAATCACATTGTCAGTCAGAATAAAAATAGTAGTAATAATAAATTAAGGGATCTTTCATAAAAGATCCCAAAAATTGCTGATTCATCAAATAGAAGTAATTGCAACATTTTTTGATGACAGTTTTTCATACAATGCAAATATGGATCTGCAAAATATTAACTTATAAATACACCATGGCAGATTTAATTAAGCTACAATTTGTTAAAAATTGATCTTACAATTTTTTTATTTTTCTGGATGTTATATATAACAGAGGGAAAGTATGGCAATAAGCCAAAAAATGACTCCCAAGATTTTTACATTTTTGGATTTGAAACCTTGAATTGTTGAGAAATGCAAAAAAGTCAAGGTTTTTTCTGTGAGTGGGGGCATGATTTTGTTCACTCTCTTTCGAGCTTAACTCCTGTGCTTTTTGTCAAAAATTTTTGAAACATTTGCAGGGGGAATTGATGCTATTAAATTTTGATGGTTAAAGGTCAAGGAGATGGGAAGATAGAGGATGGTCCCATGTCATATCTTCAGTAGGATTGGACTTAATAACAATTAAAATCATCATTAACATTTACAGTTTTTATAAAACTCATCCCTACCCTCAAAATTAAGCTTTTTGCCATTTTATAAGTTTTTAATAATAAAATATCATATTTTTATTAGATAGTACCACACATGCAGTTTCAAGCTTCAATGGTCCATAAAACAAAGATAAGAGTAAATAACAAAATGAATTTATTACCAAAAGTTAGGTACAAACATGGTTACTTTTCAACATAATCACTGTGAAGATTGAAGCATTTATCATATCTGTAGACAAGCTTTTCCCTTGTCATAGAATGTTGCCACCAATAACTTGAGATGAGCCCTAATGTTTTTTTGAAGGTCGTCATTAGTCTAGAATCTCTGCCCTCCTAGCCATTTCCTGTTCAGAAAGAGATGGGAGTTGCTCGGTGCTAAATGGGTGCTATACGCTGGGTGTTTAAGGTGGTGTTGACTTCCACCCAGCTTAAAACTTTTTGATATGTGAAGACTCCTGAACTGAAAATGTGGCTAGCAGGGCAGAGGTTTGAGACTTATGAACTAATGATGATCTTCAAAACAACATTGTTAAGGCCATCTCAATTCACTTGCGGCAACATTCTTTGACAAGGGGATGGAAAAGCTCGTCTACAGATATGACAAATTCCTCAATCTTCATAGTGATTATGTTGAAAAATAACCATGTTTGTACCTAACTTTTGGTAATAAATTCATTTTGTTATTTACACTTGTCTTTGTTTTATGGACCATTAAAGCTTGGGGAAAAAACAGCCCTCATATTTGTTTATTGTCTGCTGGAAATTTGTGTTTAGGTGTTATTATGTTTGAGAATAATGTTAATGTGTCTTGCAAGAATTCTTTCTGTATATTTTCCAAACTAGACAAGCTAGTGTAGTTCAGCTGGCATAATCTGGAAAAACTTTATTAATTTTTATTGTATTATTTCTAGTCAAGATTATTATAATAATTAGTATCAGGATTATGACCTGTTCCAAGATCTCCACCTTGATGTGGTGCTTTGCTACCAATAGGGATACCCATGTCAAACAAGTCAGAGGATAGAGGCCAGACTAAGGCAGTATCAATGGTCCTCCAGGTTGGGGGTTATAACATGGGGTAACATCCACAATGTGAAAATTTTATCTTGTTGAAAGAAGACAAAAGAAAAAAGCAGGGAGTTGTCCCCCAACAGCAGGACAGGAATCGGTTGAGAAAAGGAAAGTGGAAGTGTGAATGTCAATTGAATATATGGAATGTAAAAGAACCAAGACGTAAAGTGAATGAATTAATAAGGAAAATGACTGAAAGTAAGTTAGATGTTCTTCGCATGAGTGAGACAAGTGAAAGGAATGTGTTGATTTGGTGTGGTGTGCAAGAGTGTTTTTTAGTGAATTCACATATGAAAAAATACATGAAGGAATATAAGCAAATGAACAATGATGTGGGTGCACTTCAAAGTGAAGGTGCAGAGAGTGATTGTTGTCTTGTACTTATGCCTAGTGAATATTGCTAGGGATGCTGAAAAGGATGAGTTTGGGAAATGTTAAGGGATGTCTTGGATAAGTATGACCTTTGGAATGTGTGATTATAACCAGAGATGTGAATGGATGGATGTGAAGAGACAGACTTCTGAGAGAGTGCTGGATCTATATGGTGATCACTGGGTGAACAATAATGGAGAGAGAGAGTGGTTGATTTTGTGTGGAAAGAGACCTAAGGGTGTCCAACACCTTTTTTTCTACACAAGACCACTCATCAGTACACATGGGAAAATTGTATGAAAGGTCATAGTAATATAATAAGTTAGATTTTGTCATGTATGAATATAGATTGAGAGGTGTAGTGGAGGATGAGTGGAACTGACTGTAGCTTGGACTATTAGTGATAGAGGATGCAACTGAAGATTGGGTGGTGGAAAAAAGGAGGAAAACAGTGGCTCTGCAGTGAGTGAAAACAGTGCCTGATGAGTATAGAGAGCATATTGAATTGTGTGATGTGGAGGTTTGGAAGCATTGGAAAATCTTGTGTGATAGAAGCAGCAAAAGAGGTTTATAGTGTAACGAGAGTAGGCTGTGAGAGAGGGACTGCATGATGGAATGAAAGAGTCAAGCAAGCAGTGAAAAGGGCTTCATACATGGGTCAACTGAATGCAGTGTGTGTGAGAAGAATACTGAGCAAAGAAAGAGAAGCTGCACAAGTGATTAAGGAAAGCAAGGACAGAATGAATGAGGAATGGACTGAGCATTTACAAGGGGCATTTGAGGAAAATAGAGAACTATTCTGGAAGCAAATGAAGAGTGTATGTGGCAACAGAAAGAAAAGTGTACAGTGTGTACAAAGTGCAAATGGTGAGCTGTTATTGGGATAAATGAGAGGTGGATAATAGGTGGTGTGAATATTTTGAGAGACTGTTCAGGTAATAAAGATAGTGGTCGATGTGACCCGTGAGTGAGGTTAGGAATACAATAAGAATGCAAAATGGCAAATCTTCTGGTTTTGATAGTGAATGCAGAAATGTTAAAATGTGGGCAGAATGGATGCTATGACTCTGCAACTATGTTGGGATAAAGGCACAGTGCAATGTGATTGGAGAAATGCTGTGATTGTTCCAATATACAAGGAAAAGGGTGAAAGGACACTGCAAGAACTTCCACTTGCTGAGCAGATATGGAAAAGTGTTTGCACAAAAGTTGGTTGACAGAGTTGAGAAGCTGACTGCAAAGCAAATGTTGAAAGTGCAGTGTGGATTTATGAAAGGGAAGGGGGTGATGGACCAGATCTTCACGTTACAAATGATTGTGGAGGAAGGTGGATGAAAAAGTGTTTGCAGTGTTTGTTGATCTAGAGAAAACATATTATAGAGTGAATAGGGAGAAACTGTGGCAAGTATTATATGATTATGGAGTGAGAGGTAAACTAATTAGAGATGTGAGGGCAATGTATGAAAACAGCAAAGCATGTGTACACGTGATGGCAAAGTGTCTGAGTGGTTCACAGTTGAGGGGGGTGTAAGACAAGGATGTGTTATGTTGCCATGGTTATTTAATGTTTTCATGAATGCATGCATGAGATCCAGAGTACTTGAGTGTGTGGAATGAGAATTGAAAATGAATGAGTGTCATTTGTTGTATGCAGATGACACTGTGCAGGTGTGTGAGGAATATATGCTGTGAGTGAATGTGAACAAAACTAAAGTGATGGTGTTTAAACACAAAGATGAACAAATGGATTGAATGATTGAGCTGGATGGTGAATGAGTTTGTATATTTGGGAAGTATGACAGTTAAGAATGGTGGTGGTCAAATTGCCAGAAGAATGAATGCTGGAGCTCAGATGGTGGGTGCAATGAGTAGATTTGCGAGGAATAAAAGTATGTTCAAAGAGGTGTGAATGGCTGTGTAAGGGAGTAAAGCATGGATATGGCAGAAGAGTCACAGGATTCACATTACTACATTGTGAGATGAGTATTTGAGAGGAGTGTATGGCATAAAAAGGAGTGTCTATACTAGAAATGAACAAGTGCTGAAAGAGAATGTGGTCGAAAAGGGGAGGAAATTGGCCATGTAATGATTTGGCCACATTGAAAGAACAAAATGTATTGAAGAGAGTATACATGGGAAAGATAGATGGGAAGGCCAAGAAAGTCTTGGTTAGAACAAGTGGATGAGTATCTGAAAGAACATAAGGTGTTGAGTCAGAAAGAAAATGTGAGGACGTATACTGGAAGGAGCAAAGACGATGTCTGGACAGGAAGGTGTGGAAAAAGTTGTTGAATGAATAGTTCGTAAGATTATAGTCTGCTTTTGCTTACTCTTAATTCAAAAAGGGTGAGCAGCATGAGGATATGTATGTAATATGTAATGACATAATCTTAAAAAAAAATTTTGTTTGTTACAGATTATTTAAGCTGTCTTTAACTTGATAATAAATTTTGGAAAATTTTATTTTTTGTAGGAAAATCTAGACAAATGGATTCCAACGTGTGATAAAGATAATGAAGAAGGATTCAGTGAATGCAGTTTCACACTTACTAAAAATAGACGTGGCTTGTTTTCAGGTGTCTTAAGCAATAAAGTGCCTAAAGATGGTAGAGTTAATCGATCAGGATATTGTAATATTCGTTCCATTAGAGCTACAGTAAGTTATTGTTAAAACTATCTTTTAGTTTTGGAGTTATTTTAATTATATCTTTCAAAAACTTTGTTAATTAGAAATCATTTAAACGAGACACTCATCTTGATTGGGAAGTATTTACACATCTTGTTCTAAGAGTTCGAGGTGATGGACGCTCTTATTTATTAAACATTTCAACTGCAGGATATTTCGATGTTACATGGTATGATATTTACCACTATGTTTTATTTACAAGGGGAGGACCTTACTGGCAAACAGTGAAAGTAAATAATGATTTATAAAGCTAATTTATTATAAGTTTTGTAGATTATTAATAATTTTAACTTTTAACAGATTCCTTTTTCAAAATTTATACTTGCAAGTAAAGGGAGAATACAAGATAAACAAGTTAGAATACCATTAAATCGTATTGCATCATTAGGAATTACATGTGCAGGTGACATAACTGGATCATTTCATCTAGAAATTGATTACATTGGATTATATTGGGATAAGCATTATAAAGAGGAATTTGCTTATGAAATGTATCAAGTTCCACCTTATGTTATTGGCAGTTAATATTCATTCTAACTATTGTTGTTTGATTAATTAATTATATGTACAGTAGAAAATAAATAAACAAACTAAACGTCAATAGTTAATAAGTAAAATTTAATAAAACAACAAGTCATATATTGCATAGGTTTCTTGAGATTTTATTCATGAAACCGAAGTGTCATGACATTACTGTTTCCTGGTTCCAATGCGAATCCTAGTTCAGAATAAAACTTGACCATTTGATCTCTGCAATCTAAAGTTACTTTATAGCATCCGAGATGCTCAGCTAGTTGGCGCATCGATTCTACCAATCTATGAGAAAATAATAACAAGATATTAATATATTAAATTTATGAATGGTTTGAATTTAAAGTTATACTTTATGTTTTTATGTAAATAAAGTAATAATCAATTTTTAACAAAGAAATATCCATTAACTTTTCTTCAATATTATCATTTTATTAACAACTCACAGTAATTAAATATTCAACAAAATGAACATTGGTATCATTATTAACTGTTTATAATATGACTTCCTTATAATGGAAGTGTTAATTTAAATTTAAATGAGAATTATTATTTAAATTCAGATTACTACTTAGTTACTACTCATTCAATTCATCCTACATCTTTAGATTCCATTATTTTGTGAAAACAAGTGAATATTCATGATTAATCTTCAGTCTCTCATATATAAATATTATTCAAAAAATTTCTCAATAGAATCTAAATATAACGAATATCCGTTTTATTTATGTGCAGAATGTTTCAATTATCTGTACAGCAAATTTAAGATTTCAGATTAATGAAATTTTATCTAATTATTGTTAGAAAGCAATTTTTATAATTAGAAACATTTTAATAAACCCTAATTTGATATTCTAACTAATTATGGAAAGAATAAATATATAGTCAAATTGGCAGTTTCATCACATAATAATGTTTCCTATCTTATGACAATAAATAACACGGTTAATTTTACATATAGAAACTGATTTGCAATTTATAACTTCAAAAATATTCCAACTAGATGTACAATACTTTTCTACAGTTAGCCCACACTAGCTTATACCCTGCACAAAAATCATTAGAACAGAAATAAAAGTTTTGCATAATCCATACCACCATATACCACACAACACCAGTGATATTGAAAGAATGACCATTACTAGTACACAGTTCCAAAAGATCCCATTTCAAACATTAAAATATATATGTATTTCCATTAGCAAGTCATTGTAGATGTAATTATGTAATAAATGAAATGGAATGTCCTAAATTTCTTGTGTCAAAAATACAAAATGAATGCCAAATGACAACTTTATCATATTGTTTTTGTTAATATTAATTGATAAATACAGTAGAGCGTCGTTTATCCGAATCAATTGGGGACTGCAGTTGTTCGGATAACCAATCATGTACGAAAAAATATATGAATTTATCCCGTGTTGAAATTTTTCTCCGTTGCATGTCGCTTCGCGTTGAATTTTCGTCGATGTTAAGCCTAACGAAGACAATTGTATCGTTAAAAATTATTTTTTTATTTTGTACAAACAAAATAAATATATTGAAAAATATAAAAACAATAAAAAATTATACTTCAGAGGTTAATTTAGTATCAAAAACATAAAATATTTGAGTAGCCCAAGACATAGCCAAAGATTGCAGCACCACAGCACTGGCGAAAATTTAAATTTGTCGACTGGAATTCTTTCGGATAACAGACGTTTCGGATAAACGACGCTCTACTGTATTTTATTATTATATAAACTTGAAAAAATTTAAAAATAGAAAACAATTTTACAGTTGATAATATCCAACAATATACATTCAAAAATTGATCACTCCTATCTTTTTTCCTGTTTGGAACTATACCTTGTTCAACAAGAAATGCAAGTCCTTTATCAACAAGACTGAGTGACTATTCATAAAAGTGACTTTGAAAAGTTTAAAACCTGTCCAACAAAAGAATGAATATACAGTAATTCCCCAACTTACACAAACCCGGAGTTACACGATTTTCAAATCTTGTCGATTCCTCTTTTGTTTAAGCGCCACGCAACTCTCAATTACTCACTCCCCTCACACTATTGTTTGGCTTACGTGTTCGGAATTACGTGTTCGTGCGGAATCGACATAGATAACACAAAATAAATTGTAGCTATATTTCTGTGTTTGTTATATCTACAGAGACTCTACGTGGTGATTTCTTGTAACCATGAACGAATCAAAAGACGAGTTAAGATTAACGAGAACGTTTATTAGCTTATAGAAATAGATAAATAAATAAAACTCACGCCAAAATTGTATAGTCTTCTTGATAAAAAGCACTGAGTTCAGCGTTAATACGATTTTTCTTGTATCGCAAGTACTTTCGACGAGTATTATATCGTCGTCTTCAGGCGAAAAAAGAACAAAATTTGAATTAGAACGTGCAGAATGTTCCAAGTAGAAAACGGAAAATTTTTCTTGTCAATTTCTAAATTATAGCGTTCGGTAATTCCGTTGGTCACGTGCAACAAGCTTTTGCTGGAGTTCGAAATATTTTAAATCCACACGACTAGCAGCGCATGCGTTGAGGAGCGATCGTACTAATTGTGCGACTCTTGGCGCTTTTTGCTATTTAAACGCTGGTATAAAGTAACCCATATTTCGGGCAAGTCGAGTGTGGGGACGTTGCATGCGTCTGTGGTCATTGTAAGGAGCGCTTCCCAAATAAATGTAATTCTTCTGTTGTTACAGCTCCTGAGCAACGCTGTTTTTGACCATAACGGGTTATAGCCCTGCTGTAGAACTTTTCTGGCGAGCTCTGTGGTCTGTCTTCCTTTGTTTATATCATCTTGATGTTCCGCGATACGGCAAGCGAGCATTCTTGTCGTTGCCCCTATATACTTCTCAATTGTCCCCGTTATTGGATTTTCCAGTTGCACTGCGTATATTCCCGATTTTTCTANGCCAGAAAAGTTCTACAGCAGGGCTATAACCCGTTATGGTCAAAAACAGCGTTGCTCAGGAGCTGTAACAACAGAAGAATTACATTTATTTGGGAAGCGCTCCTTACAATGACCACAGACGCATGCAACGTCCCCACACTCGACTTGCCCGAAATATGGGTTACTTTATACCAGCGTTTAAATAGCAAAAAGCGCCAAGAGTCGCACAATTAGTACGATCGCTCCTCAACGCATGCGCTGCTAGTCGTGTGGATTTAAAATATTTCGAACTCCAGCAAAAGCTTGTTGCACGTGACCAACGGAATTACCGAACGCTATAATTTAGAAATTGACAAGAAAAATTTTCCGTTTTCTACTTGGAACATTCTGCACGTTCTAATTCAAATTTTGTTCTTTTTTCGCCTGAAGACGACGATATAATACTCGTCGAAAGTACTTGCGATACAAGAAAAATCGTATTAACGCTGAACTCAGTGCTTTTTATCAAGAAGGTTTATTAGCTTACATACATCCGACTTGGATTTTACACAAATTGCAAAATTATACCCCAACTTACGCGAATTTGACTTAGGCGGTTATCATTCAGTCCCACCTATTTCGTAAGTTCGGGGTATCACTGTATTATAATAATTAGTAAATCTTAGAATAATAATAATAACAAAAACAATGTTAAATGTCAATGACAGTCTACAAGTTTGAAAATCAATCTCTCAGCTTCTAAAAAGATCTAAAGTTTTCTGAGGAATTATTACACAAAGTTTGGCAAGACCTTTCAAAAATACCAACAACATATTCTACAGGTCATAAAAATGAAAAATTCCATATAAACATAGGTCTGAAAATGCTTCCTTTCAAAATTATAGCAATTTTAAAATGTTTATGTAATACAAATTAATAGCAAGCAACGGTTTTGAAGTTATGTTTTCGAGTGACATTTTAAGTGTTCTTTTAACACTTTCTGGTATGGCCTTTTTGCTACACACTATCTGAGTGCTATGCTTTTTACCATATTTATGCAATCACGCTTTTTGAAAATTCAACTTCCTGGTTTTCATTATTAAACTGTGTTAAAGATCATTTTTTTCTTTAATTTGATCTATGTTATGTAAAGATTTGTTGATATAGTTTGGATTTTAGATATTTTAATCTGTTTACATGAAATTTAAACTAAGAAAAGTTTTGGTTTTTTTCATATTTGCATTGTTTGAAAAGTTTGTGATTGAATTTGATGGAATGATGTTATTTTTATCCTATCAGATGTTTTTTAGCATCTGACAAAAATTTATGACAATATGTCCAATAGAGATTTAGTGCTTCATAGAAAATAAATTATGTATGCTGTTTGATGTATGTTTTTAAATGTAATTTTTATATAATCAGATAATAAAGTATTTACTTTTTGTCAAATGTAAGTATTAGTACATGAAAACTATCATATATTTTCTTAATTTTAATTTAATGTTTTTAATTCTTTGTTTGTCTAAATATCAGTCATGTTGCCACTTTTCTTACATTTATTATTACATTAATGCAAATTGTTTTATCCTACAGTATATTTAATATAACTTCTAATTAATTAATTTAATTTAATGACAGTTATTAATATAAACTAGATATTTATGTAAATATTTTAGTTATTTTAATATTTTTTTAAAATATTAAAATAACTAATAATATTAACTAACTTATAATTTTCGATTTATGTTCTGTCAACATACGAAGCTAGGCATTATATTATCGATAAATCCAAAACTATATTAACATAGAAATTATGAGAAAACACATTTAAAACAATGATAAATAAATAAACATAAAGCATACGTTCGTGGACCTCAAGGAGAGTACAAGGTCAAATGTGTGTCATACGATATTGGACTAGAAAGTGTTAATACAATAAACCATTACTCTAACTGAAAAATGGCAGACATCTTCATGTGTATTGCCTTCAGCTCAACCATACATGTAAACCTTTGCTATTTCTGAGTTAGAGTATGGGTTCATTGTATTAAAGAACACGAAAACAGACATCAAAACCATAGCTTGGTATAATTTTGAAAAGAAGCATTTTCAGACCTATGTTTATATGGAATTCTTCATTTTTATGATTTATTGAACGTGCTGTTAATTTGGTGAGACCTTTCAAAAACCTGGGTAGAGAAGGAAAAACACACTAGACACTTATCAACTATTTTCTGCATAGCAATCCATATATTCTGAAACCAGACATTTCTATGTAATTATTAAAAGTCTACAGTGCATAAAGAATTTTTCATGTCCTATAAAGACACTTTTGGTGATTTTTCCCCCTTGTCTAAGAGTCTGTAATTATGGGGTAAAATTGGCAGATGATTAGATTGCTAGTCTTAAGATAAGCTGAAAATATTCAAATAAAATTAAAATTTCAGCTAATTTTGATTTGTAACATGCAACTTTCTATATTGGACTATAGATAAATTTTTTTCATAATAGAAAAAGCAATTCAATAATTATAAATTTCATTAAAGACTTGGATTAATTTCTGGAATATCTATTGATAATTAAATGATCTTTGTTATTTTAAATAAAATTTTTGATATTTAATAACCTAGATCAAGGTGAAAACAACCAACCAAAACCAATAGAAGGAATAAAATTATTAACTGATATGAATGTTTTTGTTCATATTCCTTTTACTGGTTTTGGGTATATTTGTGTGTTTTTATTCTATACAACCAGTTTTTGAAGAAGTAAAACATTCTAGATCAAGGTATAAGAAAGCCTTTTATATTACAGAATTAGTTCTGATAGCCAGATGATCAAGACAGTAATAAAAATGTCAGCCTGCTATTCTGGAGATTAAGTTTGAGTTAGAATTGCTCAAATGTTCAGGGGTAATAAACTTAACCTAGATATGCCAGGCTCATACTTCCCTAACCAAATATCTCATCACGAACCTGGCCAAATTCATAGTTAGTGACCACAGGACACGTCTTCCATAAGAGAGAAAGTTTTTTCTAAGAAAAGTAATATTAGTGTGTAATTATTTATAATAAAAATTTAATAATTAAGGATTAACTAAATTTGTATTTCCTTAGAGTTTTGATAAAGTTCTTTCTGAACCTAATTCTGTGCAAAAAACTTATCCAGCATGCTTTATGTAAATGTAAAAAAAATTTACCAAACTTGTTTTAATTAAGTTGGAAGTATAATTATAATTATTATTCAAGATTCGTAAACCAAGCCATTTACTAAGGACACTGTCAACTGGGCGCTGGATGTCTGGACCACAAAATAAGAGATGAATAGAGAAAATACAAACTTTTTTGTTTTCTTTATAAACATCACCATTCTTTTCTACTGATCTACTACACAGTAAATTTAAATAATATTTTTTAAGAAATGATTAACTCATTTCTTAAAAAAATATTATTTAAATTTACGAGTTAAAAGAATGATTTTTTAATTAACATATTTACACAGATTACATAACATTTATTTATTTATTTTACAAGCAAATAGAAAAGTCTCTAAGAACAAGTTGATATCTACTACTAAAATTAACAAATATAAGTAAAAACGGACAACAATTACACAAAAAAAATTATAAAAGGTCTTTGGAAGAATTTGTTTTTGAAGAACATGCATTTCTTTCATGTGATTTGTTAACTGTTCTGACAAAATTATTAACAATGGTATTTTCTTTTCCTAAGTTGGAAATAACTCTTAACTCATAGTTCATAACTTATAACTTGTACCTCATAAGTCTTAACTATATTTATATTTATCTATATTTTACCAATATTTACAAAAAAATAAATAAATAAAATCTGCCAAATCATATGCTTGCTAAGCATGCATAAATTTTTAAGTTTCTGTTGCCCAGTTGTTGTGTACCCATTTACTATATAATAATTAAATAGCTCAAAGTATAAATCTTAGTTATAAACTGTAAGCACACAAATGTATAATATGGTAAAGTAGGTTAAAATACTAGTTTTGTTAAAAAGATAATTTAATAAGTTTCACTTTATCACGTATCAATTAAATAAAATTAATGATGAGATTTGCCTTGTGTCTGAGTGAATACACTATATTCAAATTGCAAAAGTTTCACTTTAAATTAGCAGCTGCAATTTTTGAAAGTACCAAAGATAAAATTTAAGATGACTACCACAAAAAACAAGTATTTGTAAAAACAAATTTGTTAGATTGAGAAATACAAATGTCATCAACTTTCTGCAATATACTTTTATAGCATCAGCTATAATTCTGCATGATCTAACTTATTGATATTGATATACCCAGAAATGTTATAGTGGGTTCTGCTTGCATATATTTAAATTAATATACTATATACATGTATAATTTTATTTTAAAGTAAACTGAATATTAGCAGGAATTGTAAAATTGTTGTGATACCAACAACTCTGCTCAAAATAGAACATTAATCCAAAAACACTCTTAAGTATTGGATTGATGTTCACAAAAGAATTTTTAAAGACTTATCATCTCAGCTCAGGATCCCCAACTAAGAATTGGGATCTGAAACTTTGATAAGGTCTTGAAAAATATTTCATCTGAATAAATTTGACTTCTAAAATCTTGTGCAAATTTTGTTTTGGGTTGATGTTTAGCAGGAATTTATTGAATATTTCATTTTTGTTTATATTATTTTTCTTATTCTGAAATATCATACATTTTTTTCTTTTATTTTAAATGTTAAATTTATAATACATAGTTCTTTTTAGCTTATTAAGTGAAGTTTCTAGTTGGGAGGCTCAGACCCTTTGGTGCTTTCCACGGATACGTTACTCTGACTCGGCATTTTGATTTATATAAAAACAGCAGTATAACTTCAAAAACAAAAGTCACTTAAAGCTGATTTACGCTGCTGGAGATCATTTTAACAAGCGATGCACCGTGTACGGTACATTTACGTCAGCTAGATGCTAACGGTTTCTGCCGCTCTTTGACAGACCTATTCGAGTCTGAATCGGATTCTAAAGATTTCTATGGTGATCTGATCTAACACGTTTGATCCACTCCCCAATCTCAGATTCAGATAAGAAAAAATATTTTTACTCCCGATTGAATCCGAATCCATCTTCTATATAATTTGCTAAATACTTTATTTAGTAAAGCTACAAATTAAAATTCCAATTAGCAGATACTATATTTCACCAGAATCTTGATTTCTTTCTTTACTATAGGTCAAACAGCCTCATAGTAACACATCAACGTATAATTACGGGAGATCGGACACGAATTCGCTTTGGCATATCATTAATCGTCTCTCAAATGCCAGCTAATTGCACGTTAGGTCCTTATATTAAGTACCGTCGCGGCCAGCCGTATACCACGCGCCCATATTGCGAATTAGTAAATCAAATTAAATCAATCTTTCTCTAGGCAGGCATACCATTTACACACTGGATTTATACTTTGATTATTATTTATACATTAATTTTGTAAAAGAATTTCATTACTGAAAATTTATTAAAAGAAATCAATTTTTTTTCAATATAAATAAAAATGCTCACAATTTTCCTAGTTGCTTCCCCCTATATTCATTGCTAACTACAACATCTTCTAAACGTCCTCTCTAGAAAAAAGTTACAGTTTTTGAATTTAATTATAAAATATAAGTATGCGTATATAAATCTGTTTAACGTAAGATTACAAAATATATCAAAAAAGCAAAATAGTATTAGAGATTTTGTAAATAAATAAAAGTTTCACAAAATTAAAGAATTTAATAAGCTTTAAAAAAAACTACGAAAAACTCACCAATCCCGTTTGTCTAATGAATTTCTTTTCAATAAATAACGTTGCCGATCCAACAATTCTGTTCTTTTTAATATCTTCTATAACCGTCACATAATAAGAATCCGGACAACCTTTCATAGAGTAAAATCTCCCTATAAAAATTAGTAAACAGATAAATTATAAGAATTTATATTTTTGTAGTTTTAAGTAAATATGTATTAGGATTATTATAAAATATATACAGCCTTTTTTTGTATGCATTTTCTTTTCTTTTTCTTTTTTTTTGAAAAGCATACAAAACAACTTTGAAACAACAGCCTTTATGACAATGTTCTCATCAGTGAGTGTTGTTCAAAAGTATATACAGTATATACCTTTGAACTATGTATATGTTGTTTCCATAGTTAATCTTTTTACTTTTTAGTTTATAATATCTTCAAAAGGCACTTACGTAAAAAGTCTTCGTGGGATACGTTCCCAACTTTGGTTAACTGCGACAGTAAATAAATAAAGCCTGTAAAACATTAAAATACAATAACAAATTTTTTGATATATTCAGTATCTATTTAATATATTTTTTTTAATGTTTAAGAAGCGATTCCCGACGGGGAATGCCGTTTAACCCGTTACATTTTTACTAAATGGGTCACGGGGTCTAGGTCACGTATTTTTATTCGATTTTACCGAGGCCGATTTAATAGTAATAAATAATTAAAACGATCGTGGCCTTACCTTTATCGTAATCGCCTACAGAAAGCGGTCTCATTTTCAAATTTTCTCCCGGGTTTAATACCGTTAGAGGCGGATTAAATTTAGCTTTTCCTTTTTCTAAATCGACCATTTTCAAAATTTCCATCGAATATAAATACTCCTGGTTTTCGTTACAAATTCCATTACGCTAAAAACCAGAAAATAATTTAATTATAAACGATTTTATTGGTAGAAAACGAATAGAGTAAATAGAGCGCGTAAATCGTTTCTTACTTAAATGTAACAAACGAAAGAGAAAGATTCATTGGAAATATTCTATCAAGATTATTTCAGACATCTTTATTTTCTTTTAATAAAAATGTCAAATTTTAAAATCTAGTAGATTTAAGCAACTAGACAGACAGACCAATAAATTTACGTAACGTATAATTTAAAATTACTTCCATACGTTTTTATGCAAAATTAATTAATTATCCAACGAAAGTACAGTACGTACGTCGGATTAGAGAGAGCGATTTTTAATCATTTTAAGAGATAATCGAACAACAAATTCCTCAAATTAAACAAGTGCGACAAAAATTGAAATAGCTTACGTCTGAGAATAATTGTCAACTTTTCGTCTACGAGTCGAAGGCTTCGATTTCCAATAAATACCGTAGAAATCGACAATAATGACAATGACAGACAGTTGGCTGTTCTCGCGCTCGACATATTGTTTCGTACGCGATGCGTAATGCGAAATTAAAAGCTCCGCAGTTATTAACTGCAACATTCTTAATTAATGTCGACCAAATATCTACTCGGCTCCTCAAATAATAAATGGTCCAACGGCCGATGCCGAGAGAAACGTTTATATAAAGAAACATTGACGTTTTCCACCTAATACAATGGGCCATTTATTAGGTGGAAAACGTTAAATAAACGTTTCTCTCGGCATCGGCCGTCGGACCATTTATTATTATTAACGTCGCGAGAAATGGCGGACTAAATACTTTAGACGTTTTAAAAAATGGACGAGTGGAATATTCACCTTTGCCTCCGACTCCATTTCGCCGTTGTACTCGCCACCGGACTGGGAAAGCCGCGAAGGTTAACCGGTACGACATTCTTCCTTCGCCATATGTCAACAATCATAGACATCGAAATTTCCGCATTCGGTTTGCCACTATTTTAATAAATGAAAAGTTTTTCCTTTTCCAAACTCGTAAATACAAATGTAAACTTGTAATTTGTATTGTTTTTTTGTAGTAAATTAAACTATAATTATTTTGCCAAAAGGCCCGCCGGTGGTCCGGCGGTGTTCGCGCCTGGCTCGGCCACGCGGAGTTTCCCGGGTTTTCTCCGCCTAAATAGGGGCAATTTTCCCTTAAAAAGACCTCCCGGAAGGCATCCCCCTAGGCGGATCGGCCGAGTGTCGCGTTGCCGTAAATAAACAAACGAACAAACAATTTTGCAAAAATTACGCGCATTTTGACTTTAAATAAATACATCGATACTTTTTGATAATTTTACTTTTACAAAAGTAGCGTGTTTTTCTTTATTGGCTTTCCGCTGTACGGGCGGGAAGGGACCGTTACTTTCGACCCCCTTCCTATTGTTTATAATGACGTAGTTTTTGTAAACTCCCGCCTTCCGTTAATTACGTTCGTAGATCCCTTTAATGTCGAAGAAACGACTTTAAAATCTTCCGAAAACATTCTAATAAAAAAACAGTTTGTACTGAAGACGGACTTAAATTACAAATGAGTTCGAAATGCGTATGAGCATGGGCGTAGCCAGAGTTTTGTTATGGGGGGGCCTAGTGGAGGCCAACATGACACAAAATTGAATTATTTCAAATTATTGTTCATTATTGGGCACCGAGCAAGCCGTTCACCTTTTTTTTAGTATTCAAAACTTTTATTTTAGCTTTAGGTGTTTACAAATCGACTCAACACTTTTACGGCTGTAATTTCCTGGGGGGGCACCAGGTTACCTGGGAGGGGCCGTGCCCACCCAGGCTCCCCCCTCGCTACGCCCATGCGTATGAGAAACCAATAAAAGAAGTTCATAACCTGAAAGCTGTATATGATAGTCTACCGAACTGAAAATCGGATTAAAGAGACAAATTCACAACATTCTAATAGTTTATTCGTCCGAATAGTAAGTGGCTGGTAATAAATGTGTACGCTAACGGTATACTGTACTCGCAAAAAAGCCTACCTACACCAGGCATCGTCTAGGTCGGGGATGGCCGACGGTTTTTGTCCCCGGGCCGAACTGGAAGAAAAACTTTTTCCACGGGGCGAACCAGAGGCTGCCCTAAGAAGATTTTGAGGCGGTGCGAGATCTTGCGGTGTCACCCGGTAGAAACCGAACTGTACATGGAAATTACGGATACATTTTTCGGGCCGGATGGCCCAGCGGTGGAGGTGACGGCCTACCGCTCTGAGGGACCCGGGTTCGAATCCGAACGGGTGGAAAAATCCCCAGGAATTTTTCGGGGGGTGGTCCGTTCGGATATGTCGGGCCCCGCCCCTCACCACCCGGCAGCCGAACCCATAATGGGCTGGCAAAAGGAGGCCCTCTTAGTGCCCACAGGGCGGAAAGAGTTAAAAAAAAAAAAAAGATACATTTTTCGCATTATCGTGCTTTATCAACATTCTACGCTGTACTTACGAGATTTGTAATGGAGGGTTAACTCTAAACGCGCGGTGAGTTGTTGACCTTTTCTTTTTTTCAGGCGTTAGAATTTTTCATCGAGCTATTCGGACTTCGTTACCTATATTGAAACTTTGATGGCGGGCCACATAAATTCGTTAGGCGGTCCGGATCTGGCCCGCGGGCCGTATGTTGGCCACGCCCGGTCTAGGTAGACTTTTTTGAGTCGGGGCATCGTCGGGGCACATTTTTCTTTTCGCCACCGCCTCCTCTTAACACCTAAACGGGGACGGGTTTCGCGCGGAAAAGCTTTTTAGGGTCGCTTGTCTAATCGATTATTTCTATCGTCGGAAAAATCGGATTTTCGAGAAAATTTTTAGATATATCAATATTAAATTCGTTGTAATCGATTACTTATTTAAATATTTCTAGCCTACTTACGAATGTAATTGAATCGTTTGAAAAGTCGAGTGGCGATAGAAAGTTGCAAATTTGAAGTTTCGAGGTTTTCTTTATTTTAGTTTGCCCGAATATTATTACGCAGTTTTAGGGCGTACTGGCGGAGATAGCCGTTGCGGTCCGGTGTCGGAGTAACCAAACTTTTAATACGGTTTTCCACCAGTTCGAGACGATCGTTTTCTATTTTAATAATAGAAAAGACATAATGACGACGAAGAAAAATGATGGCGTTGTTAAGACGCGATATAGAAATGTGAATCGTAAGCGCGATTCGATACCGTATATCTCGGCGGATAAGACGAGGTATAAATTTTCGTCCGAGTTTTATAGTTTTAGCATATATCTGTCCTATGAGACGACCCCGGATTTTGGGGGCCTTTTTTTACCATTCGACTATCGTCTTACCTGCCGAGATATAGGGTAATCTAATCGATAAAATACTTCTATAATAAAATTCCAATGGTTTTTGATGGCGTCGTATCCACGCGATAATGTAATTCTTATCTAATGTAAAAATTAGGTCGGACGGCCGTCGAATGCGTAAGGGTGAAGAAAATCCCGGAAAATGTTTGGATACGTCTGTCTCCGTCCCTTAACCGCGCGGCCTTTGCGGACCTAACCCAATCCGTAATGGGCTTGATAAAAAATAAATTCTTCTTAGCGCTCGGAGGGTGGAAAGAGTAAATTATCGGCCGAATAGCGCGCCGTAACGGATACTTTTATCGTCGCGACGTATTCCGATTTCAACCCGGCCGCAATACGGTGATATTTTATAAAATATGGCGATAACTATAGATAACTCGAACCTTCGTTTTCCGTCTTCGATTAACGCTGGCCAATTTCGTCGTAAGCTTGCGGATTTAACAAAGCCGTAATTCATTTATTAAAAGAATGATTTATATGAAATATAAAAGATAATTTTTCCTTAATAACAAACGTGTGGACACGACGATCGAAACGTACATATTGCGTAATTCATCAGATTATATATCTTGTATTTTTTCTAGGAATATATAAATATAATATTTTACATTTCGAATATCAAATACAGTTACTAAATATCGAAATTTCCAGGTTACGAGATCGTTTATAAACAAAAAGCTTAATTTATAGAACCGCGTATATCTTTCTCGCCTACGATCTAACAACAGTGGCGCGTTATAGATTGGTGAAACACGACTATATAATTACCGATTACTTTAGATTTTTATTATATCATATTAATTACATAAAAATAGAAATATTACATAAATACGGATTTATTTATTTATTATTTATAACCGTAGGGATATTTTTGATTTACTAAAATAAGTTAGTCGTTAAGGTCGGTAAAGTCGTACCTGTAAAATTAGAATTTTTATTTCAAATCCGCTTCAACTTTACGCGGCTTTATCGCCATTTCGCTTTAAAATATGCCTAACGATTGAATTACTACTAATTTGTACTAAACGTCAAAGTTCTGAAAATTCCTATTGAGATAACAGAAGGCAAACGAGAAGTCGAAGTTATCCATTTTAAGTTTTAGCGCAAATTAATGGTCTGGAGTACAAATTATTATTTTGTCCATAGAAAAAATATTAAACAATATTAATTGCGGTAAATAATATATACGTAAATAGGTATAGTCGAACTGACACCCGAAAACGAAGGCCATTTTTTCGGGAAATGCGTGTAAAATAATCTCCAAACAATGGCTGCATTTTATGTTCCGTCAGTATACGTTGCTCGGAGGTTCGACTGTATTTTTATTCAAAAACTGTAATATTATCCAATTTCTTTCGTACACCTTTCCATTTTTCCAATAAGATTTGTATACAATTATGTACATTTTGTCACCCCTTCTCCCCCTTAAACTGTAGACTTATATATATCGGAAACGGTCTATTAATTAAGAAAATAATTAATAGACGGCTCCTTACGAAATCAGCTACGAAATTACGAATTAGTTTACTTAACTCTTTAAGTTTTAAAAACAGAATATGGCTACATATAAGAACTTCGTAACAGTTATTTTACTAATTATTGATTTAAATGCGATAATACTCATATATATATATATATATATAATATCGAATAATTTAATTAAATGACGAATAGTTGGCGATAAAAATCTGACGTAATTAACTTAGTACGGCGCGCTAACGATCGATGATATAATATCTTTGACAATCTGTAATTATAATCGTATGGGATGAATATTTAAAATAAAAGATAAAACGCCTTATACGTAATAACTATTTATCCGTTGTAAAATTTAATTAATTAATTAAGAAATTTCTTTATCCGCATTCTCGTCTAATTACGATTTAGGTTAATATTTAATGGAAGAAAAAGCTGAGTTTTTAGGGTATGGTTTAGTTCGAAGGTTGAAATTTAATTTGTAGCGTAATCGGGTCAAAATATAGCGGTACGAGTTCAAGGACGGTCGCGATTTTAGCGCATAGTCGCTGTTATAAAATGTTAAAAATAATTAAAATTGCGTGCCGAATCATCTTTATTTGAATTAAAAACGACTGAAATAAAACGTAAACTGACGGAAGAAGCGATTATAAAATAATGTATAATTTGACAGGCTGCCGCATTTTTATAAAATCATTATCCCTAAACAGAGATTATTAATCTTTGTATTCTCTCCTAAAAACGAAGTTAATGTATAAATCTGCTATCCTTATCCAAATTAGAATTTTTATCTAATGAGAAAGTAATTGCAAAACACTGGAGGAGATACCTTAACATCTCCGTATCCCCTTTGTACCTCTCTGGCGGAGGCAGGCCTCGTAGGTTAAAAACTACTGTCCTAAAATATTTATTTAAAAGCATCGAGAAATTTTATTAATTATCCTACGAAGTACTTTAATATTTATTAAATCAAATCTAAATTTAAGATTTTTAATTGGTCATTTTTTGATTGTAGATTGTATGAAATAAAAATAAACTATTATAATCTAACGACTTTTGTAATTTGTTTAAAGATTAACCTATTTTTTGAAGAAATTTTAAGTTTTTTAAAGCGCTAAGCGTAATCTCGTAATATTTTATATGTATACAGTACTTGCGTACGAAGTGATAAATAAGAACATTTTATTTAAAATTAGCAAAGCTAAAGTATTCGTATCATCAAATACAGCCGTATTTACAGTATATTGTAAGGAACACCGAGTTATTGTTGCTTA